GGGAAGAGGGAGAGGGATAGAGATAGGGAGAGGGAGATGGGAAAAAAAGAGGGGGGAGGAGAGGGGGAGGGGGATGGGGAGGGAGTAAGAGAGAGAGAGAGAGAGAGAGAGAGAGAGAGAGAGAGAGAGAGAGAGAGAGAGAGAGAGAGAGAGAGAGAGAGAGAGAGAGAGAGAGAGAGAGAGAGAGAGATAGCTATATAGATGAATATCTAAATGTATGGATAGATACACAGATACAACTTCAGACAAACATACGCAAATAGACAGAAAGAGACACAAACAGACGAAATTCAAACACCTACATAAAAAAACATACATACACATATTCCCCCAAAATTCTACAAACATTCTACAAAAAAAATCCGCCCAAAATCCCACCTCCCCCCTAAAAAAAAAAAAAAAAAAAAAAAATCCCACACGAATCTACCCAACCCCACAACCCTGCACCATTTACTCCACCATTTACTCCACCCTACCTCCAGATCCAGGCGAATGCTCCTCAGCTCACTCAGGGGGAGCTCTCTACTCCGGCTCATGATGAGGACGGATTGCATGTGACCGAAGACCGTGGGTTTGCAACTCCACGCGACCGCCCACGTGGTATAGTCTGTCGAGATGATCTGGTAGGACACGTCTTGGTACAGGTCTGAAGGGGAAAGGAAGTTTATTTGGTAATTTTTTCTGGGGGGGTTATGTTTTCGTATGGGGGTAAGGGTAGGGGTGGTGATGGGGGTGATGGGGAGATGGGGTATGGAATGTGTGTGTGGGGATGCTTGGGTGTAGGGCTGGATCAAGGATAAAAGCGGATACAGACAGGTGGACGGACAGGCAGACAAGCAGACACGTACTACACACGCGCGCGCGCACACACACACACACATACACACACACACACACACATACACACATACAACACACATACACACACACGTATATATAAACCATTTTGTGTTATTCCGTTCCTGCCTGCTACCATTTATTCTATATTTTCGTGTTTCTACTAATTCTCAGTACTAATTTCAACAAGTTTTTTTTATATTTATTTATTTATATTTTGCTTTCCTGGTCATCGTTTTCTGTCAGACTCATTTCCTTTACAATTTTTATTTTCTCTTTCACTTCCGTTTTCTACCACTCACCCAACAGTTTTTTTTTTGTTTTTTCTGGCAGCTAATTGTTCTATTTATTATTTCACATTTTCAATTCATTACTATCCCCTCACCACTTTCTAATATCCATTTCTCCCGTGTTTTCTGTCTCTCTCTTTTACCTTCCCATTTTCTTTATCACCCACTCACTATTCGCCAATTTCCTTTTCACATTTTATTTCGCTTATTCTTCCCTTTCCATTTACTAGCAATTGCTCTTTACTTGCTCTTTCTTTTCCTACTGCTGTTAATTGCAATCTACTTCTTCCATTCAATACCACTTACCCCTTTACCCCAATTTTCTTCCTCTCGCTCCTTCTCATTTTCTTCTATCTACCCCCTTCTTCCCGTTTTCTGCCTCACATTCCTCCTTCCCCGTTTTCTTCCCCTCACTCTTTCCCATTTTCTTCTTTATACACCTTTCTTCCCGTTTTCTTCCTCACATTCTTCCTTCCCCGTTTTCTTCCTCACACTCCTCCTTCCCCGTTTTCTCCACCTCACTCCTCCCTCCCCTTTTTTTTCCTCACACTCCTTCCCATTTTCTTCTATCTACCCCCTTCTTCCCATTTTCTGCTATCGTCCCCTTCCTCCCGTTTTCTTCCTCACACTCCTCGTTTTCTTCCTTACATTCCTACTTCCCCGTTTTCTTCCTTACATTCCTCCTTCCCTGTTTTCTTCCTTACACTCCTCTGTCCCCGTTTTCTACACCTTCTCCCACCCCTATCTTGGTAACCTTTTCGAACACTGGTACTCACTGGAGGGTATTCGAAGCACCATAGATGCCGGATCATTGGGGTTCGGATAAATCTGCGCTTCGAACCGCAAATTGTGCACGATCCCGGCAGCTCTGAGGGAGAAGATCTGCTTGTTCATGGTGAGGAAAAAGCTGCCGCCGTTTTCACTGAAGGAGAGGGAGTAGCATCGGGAAGCTGTGTTGCTGCTCTGGATCACGTGCCATGTGCCTGCGAACTGGAGTGAGGAAAAGGTAATGCTGGTGGTATGTTGTTTTTTTTTTTGGTAGAGTTATACGCCTGTGTAAGATATGGAGATTTGTGTGTATGTTTGGGTGTGTTTATGCGTGTTTTTAATGTGGGATTTATATTGTGTATTAGAGACAATGCATTTTTCAAATAGGTCCCTCTTTGGCTAACATAGTTGCATATAAAATTGTACTGACGAAGACACTGTAACTATTTATGTCGAATGTTTGTAAACGGTGGATCAGTGCAAAAGTCCCTATAGATCTACTTACTATAATTTTTTGTCTATACATTTCGTTTCTAAAATAGAAACAATGACAGCATCACTAAACAAAAAACTCTATACATCAAACCCAGGCACGATCTGCATTG